GCCTACCTCTCTCTCTCTCTCTCTCTCTCTCTCTCTCTCTCTCTCTCTCTTTTTTCTATTTTCTTTATACGTGCAGGTCGCTCAATCAGAGTTGATCGTTCGCCGAAATAGCCGGTTAGAGTCAAGTGTTTCGCGCATTACCGCGCCATTCCGCAAGAAACGGAGATAATAAATCGATCGCGATCGCAATTCAGGCCGTTCCTTTCTTCCTGATTAATTCACGATTCTCGATTTGCCCACATTTACAACCGCATGTTACAACCTCGATGCAACCTGTTTTCCCGCGGCGCGCGCCGGCCGTGTAACATTACCTGTTTGTAAAATACCTGCCATTCCCCTCCCTCCCCCCCCCTCTCGCTGCGAAACTCCATTCAAACAATGAGATTAGCGACTCTACGGCCGATTTCCAATTTTAATCATCGTCGTATCCCACTTCGCAGCCGGCAACCCACCCGTCGTCCATTGGATTAGAGCTTTTCGACGTATTCAGCCTCTTTGGCGACGGCACCCAAACAAAACGCTATAAATAAAACCGTGAAAATAGAAGAGCGGGACGCCTCGGATGAAGAAAGAAGGGGCTATCGCGTACGATAATCTGGCTTATCTATTCCGGATCGCTAACAGCCAAGGGCAGACGGGGTCTCTTCCTCCGTCTTTGCCGCCATCGATTATGTCTCATCGTTCCCATTCTGAAACTCACACTGGAAGGAGAGACCCTGCTGTTATCTGCCAACTACGTACAAACATCTTACCCGGAAGGACAGCTGGTCTTCGAGGAACTCCCCGAAAAAGATTGTCAAAAGGCGCGCGAGTCGTAAACACGCGGGCCAAAATATTACGAACTTTTAACAGATCTTGAGGTCAGGTTTTCTATTATTTGTTAAAATTTATTTATGGGCCGGAATATTTTTAAATCATTTGCCGAGAGGAATCTTTTCTTTTAGAAATCTTTAACCGTAACCGAAATATGAAAATACTAGAAATATTAATATTCCGTGATTGTTTTCGTATTTGTCAATCGTGTATCGAGTATTTCGTCACAGCCTCTAATGGTACTCGCGTTACGAAATTATTTGGTGCAATCCGGCGATGCCATCTGCGAATTTTCGTTTGACCTCCGTTGCAATTAGCGGTTAATACACGGTTATGATGATTCGTCATTCAAGGACAATCGGCCGGAGGTATAATTAACGATTCCGCCGGAGCATGAAAGAGTCACCGGCACATATCGCGAACGTTCATCGATCGCATCTGAAACGCAACACCTTCGTCGTTCTCACGCATACGCGCTTGATGATCGTAGGCGATCATCGACTGTGCAATATCGCGTGTGTGCAACAAGTTACTTTTGCCAATCGGACGTAGGAAAAAGACAAATATGAATACAAAATTAAATTAAATCCCCTTTCACGCTATATCTATAGGTAAAATAATATTTAAAGACAAATAAACGGAGTGCGAAAGAACGGAAGCGTGTGTTATTATTTTAAATATGTAAAAACCTCTCGTGGATATATGCATATTTCCGATTTTATTTCAAAAAAAAAATCGTATACGATTTTTCCAATAGCTATGCGCGATTGAAACGTCGAAAGCACGAGTGGTGAATGTGATTTTGGTGTTACGAGTGTCGAGATAGGAAAAAAAAGAGCGGAACAAATCGAATTTTGTCAAAAGTGGACTTGACCCGATTGCGTTTGCGGACCGCGCGCTTCAGTCGATCCCGTAACCCGTCCCGTCGCGGTGAACAGGCGTGACAAGATAACGAAATACGCGGATATACAATACAAATACTCTGATCTGAATACGAATTTATCGGGCCGTTATGGAGCGTCAATCGGCCGGCCGGGGTCTTTAGGGTGCAGCGAATTGCATCGATGCAGCGAGCGCGGCCCTTTCGAGCGCGGCCGGCCGGCGTGATTATTATTGAGCGACAACAAAGGCGGGCTAATTGGCACGAGGCGCGCAACGTGTGCTCGCCCAGGACAGACGGTTGTTATCGCGAGCCCGGTAATTAAGACGAAAGAATACAAATTGCGGTGGTTGTGAGCGGCGCTATTAACGTGAGTTCGGCGCTCGCGCGTCGCGTGCGAATTACACGATTGACGGGGCATTCCGATATGTACCGCCGCTCTCTCGCTAAGCCTATTTTCGCGAAAGGCATTTAACGAGCTTCATTCATGGTATCGCCGATCCGTAACAATCGAGTCATTTACCTACCCCGTTCGTAGTCGGCGGAGTGCGATGCGTTATCGGCGGTATTTTACTTTTTTCTTTTTTTTT